ATATATATTAAATATCGTACAGGCATATGTAATATGGGTTGCAAACCGGACGGTACAAGACTTGGTTTTGGAAGAGATGGCACGCTTTATTGTAAAGCTGGTCATCTTTCGTATCAAGGCAGTGAAGCAGCGCGTCAGGCTACGATCGGACAATTCCATCTTGCTATGAACGGACAATTCCGAATAAATGGTAAGATATGGGTAAGAGTTCTCGCAGATCTCCCTATTACCATTGCACCTACGGAACTTTGAAAGGGAAGAGGAATAGGAACCCCTACTATTTTACTTCTAAAGGAGAGCACCTACACTATCAACTGAATGGGGGAAATGAAAATTTTCACTCTGTGATAGGAAAAATAGAAGCATATTATGAATGAAAGAGGTGTTCGTAAACCTTGAAACTCCAGATCCTATTCCAACATCTCAAGGGAAATTTATCTGTCCTATTTATCAGTCAGTACTCTGAAATTCAGAAATGAAAAGGAAGCTTCTTAACTACACAATTAAAAGTTAATAATAAGAATATCAAGGCAGAAAAGACTATATACCTCAGTGCAAAGGCAGAATTCAGGGCATCGGCTTTCCCCACACCTGCCACTACAGGGCATATAACCAGCACAGCATGTATACCTGTACCGAAACAGAAAGTTAATATGTTTTACCCCAGAAGCCAAATCAAAAATTCGTATCAGACAAAACAGGGATCAGACAGTTACCTTGACATGTCATCATAAAGTGCTCGTTTACGGAGTAAGTATGATACACAGGGCCCACTGCAACAATAAAAAAGGTGAATCAGATAATTGACATTTAGTAAGACTTCTGCCTTCAAACAGCAAAAGCAAAAATCTGACTAAAGAAGTACTATGTCTTCTGAGCTACAAGTTTTTGATGACAACCAAATTATGGGAATTCGGGGAAGGCAATCCGGTATATCTAATAATTAATTAGGAGGAAAAATTCTAGCAATCTGCAACATGTTAACAAAAGAAACTGATAATTACTAAAGCAGTGAACTATAGAAAAGCATTGCTCTTTTCGCTCTTTAAATGA